AGGGAATAATTTGAAATTGTATTATCAGAGACCATTTATGGGAGAAAAATGTAAATAATAGCATAGAGACATTCAGATCATTAATAAAGAAAGGAAAGCTGAAAAAAAAGAACATTGAGATACATAGTAATCAAAATGGTAAAATGAAAAGACAAAGACAACTTAAAACAACAAGAGAAAAGAAAACCCTCAAATATTAGTGAAACAATGTAAGAATCACAACAGACCCTCCACATAACATTTTACAAATCAGAAAAGAGTGGAATGAAACATTCAAAGTACTGAATGAGGTGGCTGGAGTGATAGCACAGCAGGTAGGGCATTTGCCCTGCATGCAGCTGTCTCGGGTTCAGTTCCCAGCATCCCATATGATCCCCTGAGCACCACCAGGAGTAAGCCAGGAGTAACCCATGTGCATCTCCGGGTGTCACCCAAAAAGAAAAAAAAAGCACTGACTGATAAAAATTACTACCAGACTAGAATCCACTACTCTGCAAAGCTATCATTTAGACTTAAGGAAGAGATAAGAACCTTTTCAGACAAATAAGAGCTGTATGCTCTCTATTGGCATTTCTAATATTATGCTTAAAGGTATAGATCATCCTGATTTTCCTGTTTTTGATGTCTCTAAACACTACACTTACACATTTGAAACTTAAACTCCTCTTTAGGAAGAGTGTCATTCCCTTGAAGAAAACTTTTTCATATTCAGGCTTCAGTATAATTAATTGCGGCCCTCATGGTAGATTCATTCCTGGCTGTTTGATGATGAAAATTTTACTCTGTGCCGCTCTGGCCATTCTAGATCTACACTTATAAGAATCCCATCATGAGTAGAGGACAAAAGATTTTGGAATGGCAAGATGGGGAACTAGCCCCTCCACAACTCAAGACTAGTGAGACACTTTACCCTGAGCATAAAGATTTGTGGAAGATGACTTGGCCTTAAGCCTGGCCAGTTTGGGCGTAGAAAACATCTCTTGTGACAAATATAATAAAGTTGTCTATAACATTCACCATAATGATTCATTTTGGATTCAATCTTGTGTAAAATCTTACTATGTTTTTGCTCATAGAACTAGTACCTTTGATGAAAAGCTTAAAACTATAAATTGTGATTATTGTGCCTTATTCACTTGTTTACATCCATGTCTGTATCATATAAAATACAGTATTGTACTGCTAAAAACAATATCTCGTATTTGGCTACCTGTAAACCTGAATAAGGAAAGGTAACATTCTCCCACAGAAGGACTTTTGATTGATGTTGCTACAAAACTCCTAAAACATTCTCACAGCTTGTTGGACTTTTGATTACTTTCATTATTGGACTTATTACTATATCAGCTACAGCAGCAGTGGCCAGTTATCATGCAAACTCTGTCCAGAACCCCAGACTTCGTCGAGCGATGACACAATGACTCTGACCACCATGGACATTCCAAGCTACTAGAAACAAGGATGTGGAGCAATGACTTGACACATTGCAACAAACATAACTTTGGGTTTGGGGGGGCTTGATGTTTGGAACAGCAATTTGGACTTTGTGTGGTTGGAACAGTTCTTTTATTTGTATTACCCCAGAGCCTTATGAGTCCTATGAGTAAGAAAAAATCAGATTACCATCACTTGATCACTTGACATCCCGTTACTCATCGATTTGCTCGAGCGGGTGCCAATAACATCTCCATTCATTTCTGTCACGTGCTAATGTAGCCCAATGGTGTCTGCTCATTCTAGGAACATGAAGATCCTCAAACCGATCGTTCAGGGTCTTGATGAAGAAGTCTGACCATCTCATAGGTGGGCAGCCACGCCATCTTTTGACATCCTGTGGAATTCAGTCAGTAATGGCTCTAGTCCAGCGGTCGTCTCCAAATCTCATTATGTGTCCAGCCCATCTGATTTTCGATGCCTTGGCAAACGAGACAGCGTCCCTGATTCTTGACTGTCAACGGAGGTTGTAACTCCGGATTCTTTCTCTCATTTGAGTGAAGCGTGTTACTCTAAGAATAGCTCTTTTGATTTCTCTTTGGGAGACCCGAATAGTGCTCTCATCCTGTTTTTGTAGGGTCCAGGTCTCTGAGGTGTGTGTTAAGGCAGTAAGAACAGTGGAATAGAAGAGATGTGCCTGGATCCGGAGGTTCTTCATCCCCTTAGCTATTTCTTCGACATTCTTGAAGGCGTTCCAAGCCACTCTCTTCCTCCTGTGAAACTCAGGTGCCAGGTCATTTGTCATGTTGACTTCTCAACCTACGTACATATAACTGTTGCATTTGGAGATGTTCATCTTGTTGAGAGTGAATGGAATGTCAGGAATGAGACTGTTTCTCATAAACATTGTCTTTGTGAGATTCAGCTATAGTCCGACCTTTTCACACTCACGGAGTCGGCCAGCATTTGTGCCGTTTGGTTGATATTTGGTGTTATAAGAATGATGTCATCGGCGAAGCAGAGGTGGTGTGATTGCCAACTGTCTATCTTCACTCCCATTCCTTCCCATTCCAGTTGTCGCATGATGTTCTCGAGGGTGGCACTGAAGAGTTTCAGTGAAATGGTATCACCCTGCTGAACCCCCCTCTTGACGTCAGTGATCCTTGTAGAATGGTGAGATCCTCGTAGTGAATCTGCAATGCAGCTCACGAAGGATCCTGATGTATTGACTTTGAATGCCCTGTTTGGTTAGGGCCTCGATGACCGCTTCAATCTCAACAGAATCAAAGGCCTTCTTTAAATCAATGAACGTTAGACAGAGCGGCATCTTGAACTTCCGAGAAACCTCAATGAGCTTGGTTATCGTGTGGATATGATCGATGGTGCTGAATCCTTTTCGGAACCCGGCTTGCTCGCATAGTTGTCCTTTATCTAGTGTTCTGCCAATCCTATTCAGGATGACTTGGGTGAACAGCTTGTAGAAGACGGAAAACAGGCAGATCAGGTGATAGTTGTCAATGTCATGAATGTCTTCCTTCTTGTACAGTAGTATAGTCCTGCTGGTTTTCCACTGGGACGGAACCTTGCATTCAGACAGGTAGCGTGTGAAGAGTCAAGCCAGTGTATTGATGAGTACTGATAGCAGGTTCTTCAGGTCTTCGGGTCTGACCTTGTCTGGACCGGGTGCTGTTCGCTTCTTTACTGACAAAATGGTGAGTTGGATTTCGGGAGAAGTTTGGAAACAACATATCCATCCTGCGGAATTTGGTATGTGGGCAGGTGGACGTGGCTATAGAAGAGATCCGAGTAGAAGTCATGGATAATCTTCTCCATTGCCCTTCTTGAAGATGTGATAGACACATCAGGACAGCAGAGGGCAGTCATCTTGGTCTTGTAGTTGGCAGAGGACAGGCAGGCATTATGAATGCTTTTCCCAGTTTCTGCCACATCTGCCAGCACTGCTGCTCTTCTCTCTTTGAGGTCTTCCTTTATCTCTTCTCTGCACTGCTTTGTGAGCTAAGACATTCACTTGCGGTTGCCTGAGGCTTGCGCCAAGCCACATTGGCAAATGAGCTCAAGAGTTTTCGAAGACAGGCGTCTTTTTGTGGCTATCTCTCTCTTCTCTCTCTCTCTCTCTCTCTCTCTCTCTCTCTCTCTCTCTCTCTCTCTCTCTCTCTGTGTGTTCTTCGCACAATCATGGAGGTGCTGAACCAATTTATCGTATTCCTCGTCAATGTTGTCAACGACAGCATTTTCCCATGTTGCTGCAATAGCGCCAAAGAGCTCCCAGTTGGTGGTCGTTCTGGGAGTTCTCGTCTTAAACTTTGCAGCCCTTTGTACCCACTCCGTGAAGTAGAATTTTGCACGAAGGAGACGGTGGTCTGATCCCATTTGGAATTTTGGGACAACAGCAACAATGGTCAGGCAAGACCGTTGATTGAATATGATGTGGTCAATTTCATTGTGGAACCGTCCACCGGGAGACTCCCATGTCCAACGTTTAGATTCGGCTTTCTGGAATTGTTACCATGGATGGTCTTGGTCGACATGATGAACTTGGACAGTCTCTCACCCTGTTCATTCCATTCTAGGCCATGGGTCCTGATATGGAGTTCTTCGGCTGATCTTCTTGGTCCCATCTTGGCATTAAAATCACCGACAATGGTCTTGTAGAAGGTGAGGTCTTCTTTATAGAACTTCTTCAGCTCCATGTAGAACTTCTCAATTTCTCTTTCATCATAATTAGATGTTGGTGCATAGACAACGAAGATAGAAACTGCCAGCAGTGAGCCACATCTATTCAAATGTAATTGTCTGATTCGGGTTCTTAGGCATTCGAATGAATCAATGTTTATGGCCAAGTTCGTGTTGACAAGGACACCGACACCACTGACGCCTCTTAACAGATTATCATGTTAGACTTAAAATGGGAACTTTTTCTTGGTGCTCTATCCCTCTAGGAAGAAATTCTTAGTACTTTTCATAGAAACCGCTTAATGTGCACTATGAGGGCCTGTGTGATATTTTGGTCTGTTGGGGAACAGTTTTTTCCCAAGGTGCCTGGACACGTTGCACACCAGGTTTGGGCAGACATGGGCTGAGGGATGACGGGGGCATGGAGAAACACACTCTAGGAGCAGCTGATGGCTGTTCAAATACATATTTTATAGAGGGTCTCGGCTTACAGGAAAGTTCAATCACATAAAATTCAGCATTATTGGCTTATTACCTTTCCCACTCTGCTTTGCCCTAGTCCAATCCCAGTCAAGGCTAGATGCTGTGGTGAGGATGACTTGCTAAGTGTAGGTGACAGTTTCTGTGTTTTGGGCACATGTGACTAGGAGGCCGAGTGAAGCTCAAGTCTGGACACCTGATGCTGACACTCTATTCTTGCCAACTTTGCCCAGATACTTTCTGCAGGAAGTCCTCACTTCAGGACGACTTTGCAAGGTCGGGTCTTTTCTGCTTCAGTGCCCATCTCCATGCTCCACACTGGTCCCCATCATCATCAGACCAACACACACACATACACACCAATGTAATATAAAATATTATCAGACTAAGGATGAAAATCACAAGATCATTATGCAGAAAAAAATTAACAATATTCAATTCTTATTTATCACTGTAAAGTTTTAGAAGTAGAGGGAACTTACACCTATAAAATTCCATTTCATATTTTCAGTGACAAAATCATGGAGATAGAGAACAAATTTGATTTTCAGTAGCTAAGAATGTTTGGGGAAGGTGGATAAATGTATAATTTAAGGGTTACCAGGAGAAGAGGGTTTACAATTCCAAAAATCTACACACTTCCTTATTCCCTCATTATATGAAGCAATAGTTAGAATCTGGCACAAATACTAAGAGCCAGACATAATGTAGCGTAGAAAAAAAAAGACAATTTGTGTCTTGTTCTCTGTCTCCAAGAAAAAAATCTCTAAACCTTAGTTTCTTATCTGTAAAATTAGCAGAATATCTATTTTGAGATTGTCAGGAGAATTAGAGATAAGGTTTATGAGTGTGTGTACATAAATAAAGCATGGTGGGTGGGTGCTGGAGCGACAGCACAGTGATAGGGTGTTTGCCTTATGTGCAGCTGGCCCACCCGAGCCAGGTTCGATTCCTCCGCCCCTCTCGGAGAGCTCGGAAAGCTACCGAAAGTATCTCACCCGCACGGCAAAGCCTGGCAAGCTACCTGTGATGTATTCAATATGCCAAGCACAATAACAACAAGTCTCACTATGGAGACGTTACTGGGCCCGCTCGAGCAAATATCGCTGAACAACAGGACAGTGCTTACAGTGCTTATGGTGGGTATCCTGATTTAAATGTTCCAAATGTTTCTCTCAAAACAATTTTATTTCTGGTATTTATGGGCATTGGGTCTCACCTTCATCGTCCACCATTATCCAGGTACACTGACCTCTTTTCTCTTCTTCAGAAATTCCAAACTTGCGCCCACATCTGTTTTTGCCCTCATTCCAGTATCATCTGACTCCAAAATTTCACAAGATGATTCTTTCCTATCATGAAGTCTCCACGATACCTCTGATTACCCTCAAGCAATGGGAACCCGGACCCATCCTGTGATCACGTCTTTACTTCCTATTACTTAACACTATCTGAAATTATACCATTCATTTGTCTATTTAAAGTGGAGGAAGTATATCAGTATAATTTCACAATAACTCTAGCTCTTAGACTATGAATATTTAGCTCTAAGACTAAGCTCTTAAGTGTTTGGTGTCACTGCTTTCCAGAATGTTTCCAATGTCTAGAGTTTTCCTTCCTCTAGGGGTCTTACCATTTTCTACCCAACAGTTTTGGAACAGACATAGCCTAATTTAGAATTTTAAATCCTGGTTAACATTCCTCACATGTTTAATTTCCCTCCACCATAACTAAGAGGCAGTGACTAAATAATTTTCTTACCCAGAAATGATCTGACAGCATACATTTTATACCACATCACATGGCCCTTACAACTTCCTGAATAACATGGTGTAGTAGCAAAGAGTAACATTGTGGGTATTTAAAGTCAAGCATTCTACCCCTGTGTAAGATAAAATCAGACTGGGTGTGGGATTATATTCAATATTCATAGAACCAACCAATATTCTTGTAATGGAACAGTATAAATAAAGAGACACAACCAAAGGGAGCATGTATATTTAAAATTCCTCCCCTTCATTTTCTTCTTCAAATGAATCAGTTCCCACTTCTTCATAATCCTTCTCCAGAGCAGCCAGGTCTTCTCTGGCCTCAGAAAATTCTCCTTCTTCCATTCCTTCTCCAACATACCAATGCACAAAGGCCCGCTTGGCATACATGAGGTCAAACTTGTGGTCAAGTCGAGCCCATGCTTCTGCAATTGCTGTGGTATTACTCAGCATGCAGACAGCCCGCTGAACTTTGGCAAGGTCTCCTCCTGGCACCACAGTGGGTGGTTGGTAGTTGATTCCCACCTGAGGAACAGAAAAATAAGATGAATAACAAAGTAAGATGTAAGGTAAATCCCCAGGACAATTTAAGATAACATTGTATGGTAGCGTGACACACTCATGGTTATAGAAAGAAGACTGTGGGAAGTTAGGGGAACAGGCCAGCAGGAAGATGTGAGTATTGAAGAAAAAGTGAAGTGAGTGGATCTGGGTACTAGCCAAGTCCAAAAGGAAGTGCTAGGCAGTATGAAAACTTTCAGACGGAAAGGAAAGTGTGTAATAAGATGAAATGTTTAGTGGGGAAATCAAGTAGACAAAAGGAAAATCTTTCCTTTTAGAGGAAAATCAGTTACTAAATCTAAAGCTACTATAAAGTTTATTCTTTCTTGGATAGTAATATAATGTTCACTGTTGTACTGTCTATAAATTTAGAAAAGTTTTCTCTGCCAAAGAAAGACTACTTAAAAGGTCACAAGTCAATAAATCTTAAAAAAATACAAAAGGTCCTAGGAATAGTATTAGTGTTAAATAAACTCTATGTCTCTAGAAATAGAATTTCATAAGGAGAGAAGAATTCCAAACAAAGAAAATTACTCAAAATCTCTTTCCTCTGGGTGGAGAATTAGCTCAATAGGCAGGAGAACATGCTTTGCATGAAAGAGACCTGGGTTCAATCCCTAGCACTGCATGGTCCTTGAATAATGCCGGGAGCAATTCCCAAACACTGCATCAGGAGAGGCCCCTGAATATTGCACCCCAAACCAAACCAAACCAAACCAAGAAAAAAAACCCTTCTTTCCTAGGTAAGTCAATTATCCAGTTCTTATAACATGGCAAAGTCCTCCAAGCTTAATCTAGCCCAATCTGATGGGACTTGCTATCCAGAAATCTTTCTTCTACAAACACAGACATAAATCCAGTGCCAACCTAGTTAACTTTAAGAAACTTGGTAAAGTCTAAAATAGCAAACTTTGATAAAATTTATAAGATGCTGAAAAACTTGGTGTTGTTCAAAGGCACCTCTCCTATCCTAGCCATGATGCCTTGTCAATCTCCCAAAGTTCTATCTTAAATGAATAACTTCTTGAGAAGTAGGGGTAAAAGTGACACCAACAGTCTTTATAAACAAGACATTAAACCATTAAATAAATTAGCATTGGTTTTAGAATTAATGTTCAGCTTAGTGAGTTCTAGGTAGTGTAGGTAATGCTGAGATAAAGACAAATTCTTAAAAACAAAAAGAAGAGGGCAATAAATATGATATTGGACCTAACTTAATTACAATAGAGAAGGCTGAATGACAAAGTTTGTACCTATAAATATTGCTTACTCTTTTTGTATCGCTTAGGATTTTTGTTTGTTTCAAAATCATGAAATCTGCCTATAAATGGATGAACATGGAGAATATCATGCTGAGTGAAATGAGTCAGAAGTAAAGGGACAGATATAGAATGACTGCATTCATTTATGGTATATAAAAATATGTATAGTATAAGAATAATATCCATGGCCAGAGAAAACAGGGGTTAGGAAGACTGATCAATGATTGGAACTAACCACAAGTGTGTGGGAGGCTGAAGGTAGGTAAGATAGAGAAGAGACCACTGTAGCACTGTCCTACCGTTATTCATCAATTTGCTTGAGCGGACCCAGTAACATCTCCACTGTGAGGCTTTGTTGTTACTGTGTTTGGCATATAGAATACGTCACGGGTAGCTTGCCAGGCTTTGCCATGTGGGAGGGATACTCTCGGTAGCTTGCCAGGTTCTCCGAGAGGTGTGGAGGAATCAAACTCAGGTTGACTGGGTCGGCCGCATGCAAGGCAAATGCCCTACCCTGTGCTATTGCTCCAGCCCTACCACTATGACAATAATAGATGGGAATGATCATGCTGGACAAAAGCTGAGAGTTAAAAGTAGGTAAAGGATATTCGGGATAACCTTACAGTATCAATATTTCAAACCACAATGCCCAAAAGGAGGGGGGGGGGGAGAGAGAGAGAGAGAGAGAGAAGAAAAGCTCCTGCCATAGAGGCGGGGGGGAGGGGGTGAAGGGATGGAACCTGAGGACACTGGTGCTAGGAAATGTCCAATAGTGGAGGTATGGGTGTTGGAATACTGTATGACTGAAATCCAATCATGAACAGCTTTGTAAAAAATAAATTAATTAATAACCTTTAATAAATAAAGTATTCAACTCAAAAGTTTCTTGAACACTTATTCCCAACTGAGATCTCCAGGACAATCTTGGAATGGGGGAATGCCAACTACCACCAAACAAGGCCCTGGCAGCCCTCCCGTACCCCACACCCCAATGCCACCACCAGGCCTTTGGCCGGGCCCCAATCCCATAAAGAACCATAAAGAACCTAATCTGCCAAAAACTTCAGGCACATGGGTTTTTGTCACTGAAAACACCAGGTCTTTTAGGAGTCAGGGTAGGCTAATTCCCTCCATCTCCCCATACTTCCAGATTTGGCAGCCATGCTCACACCCCACTGCTACCACGATGTAAACTCATCTACCGAACTGCCCAAATTAGAGATTATGGATTTTCTGGAGCTCATGGCCACAAATACATCTACGGCACTTACACCACAGCAGTAGCAAACAGATTAGATGGGTCAAACAATGACGACTAACAAAAACATTAACACAGAGGCTTGAGTTGCAACAACAGAAAACCCTCAGACAGTACTTAATGTCCCTATGGCGAGATACAACAATTTTCACAAATCTTCTTCTATGTAAATATTTTTGATTATTCTGCTATAATACAAGCAATATACAAATTATATTGCTGCTACGGGGGCAGGCTTGAGGGTTGTTGGGGAAATGGAGACAATAGTGGAGGTGACAGTGGTGGTGGGATCGGTGATAGAATACTGTAACAAATCATCATGAACAATTCTGTAAACCATGGTGTTTAAATAAAGTGTGTGTGTGGAGGGCAGAAATTTAATTAGAAAAAATAAGGAAGCCAAAGTAAAAAGCAGCCATCTCTGCTGTTCCACATTAAATACAATTCCAACAAAAGTTTGGAATCAGGGGGCTGGAGCGATAGTAGAGTGGGTAGGGCGTTTGCCTTGCACGCGGCCAACCCACGTTCGATTCCCAGCATCCCATATGGTCCCCTGAGCACTGCCAGGAGTAATTCCTGAGTGCAAAGCCAGGAGTAAACCCTGTATGTTGCTGAGTGTGACCCCCCACCCCAAAAAAAAGCCAAAAAATAAAAAATAAATTAAAAAAATTTTTTAAAGTTTGGAATCATAAAAAAGGCATAGTGGGGCTGGAGCAATAGCACAGTGGGTAGGGTGTTTGCATTCCACCCAGCTGACCCAGATTCGATTCCCAGCATCCCATATGGTCCCCTGAGCATCGCCAGGAGTAATTCCTGAAGGCAGAACCAGGAGTGACCCCTGTGCATTGCTGGGTGGGACCCAAAAAGAAAAAAAAGGCATAGTCTATAAAAGGGATTATGTATATAATTAGGAGGAGAATAATGAGGAATAATTATTCAGCAAGAAAAAAGTTAGGTTAATATGAAACTCATGCAAATAGATCAGCCAAAATGTTGGCATATGGTACCTTGTTTTGATAAATCCCACACAGGAAATATTGAGATATGTTTATCTCTTATCTTTAACAAATGATACAATAGCCCAATTGGATATTGAAAGATGGTGGGTTACAAGTTATTAAGAATTATAACAATATTTTATAATCTTATTAAAGATAATTGAGACGCAGGACAAAGAGATCAAGCAGCTCACATGTACAGAGCCAGCTACATGCCTTGCCAGTACAACTCAAAGAGGAAACATCTAACATTCAACATTCATTAATCCTGCAATCAAGGGGTCTTCCATGGCTCTTCTATATCTCCCCACAAAACTTAGCATTTTCCAGACTTTGGACAGTTGATATATAACAGACCATTTGATTTCCTCAGTGTTTACTCATCCTGACTAACAGAATATGTCAGGTCTTCATAGTATGAGTAGTCATACAACCAAAAGTATTTTTCAGAATATAACTAGGAGCAGAAATTATTTCTCTTTGGCACCTTGAATGGTTTTTTACTCTGTTTTTTTGGTCTGTTGTCAGATCACAGCCAATTTCACCTAGTCATCCTCCTTCTCACACCGATTTATTCTAGTTTTGTTCCCTCTTCTACCCAAAGGAAGAAGACCCCTTTTTTGAGATCAGAGACAGTACAGGGCTTTAGGAGCCTGCCTTGCTTGCAGCCAACTCTGTTTTGTTCTCTGGCACCTCTAGGAGTGATTCCTGGGCATAAAGCCAGGGGTAAGCCCTGAATCCAGTCAGTTGTGCCACCCCGTCAAAAAAGATTCCTTTTCTGCCAGGATGGTGGAAGTCTTCTACCTATTTCAATTAGTATCATCATGTCTATTGAGATGGTCCTTCTCCGGTTATTTTAAGAGCTATGCAGTCTCTCCTAGTCTAAATTAATGAATTATTTAGAGTAAGCCCCTCTTTTACATCTTCTCATAAATTCTAAATATCCCACAGAATTACCATTAGTCCAGTACCACAGAGTTTGCACATTATTCTCTCCCATTCTTGGTAATCTCTGCTTCTAGAAGTATGTATCTCTTAAGTCATCAGTTCTCACCTTAAATCCTGTGGGACACCAGTCTACAAACTGAATCGTCCTCTTGGTCTTGATGGCAGCAATGGCAACATTAACATCCTTAGGCACCACGTCCCCTCTGTACAGCATACAGCAGGCCATGTACTTGCCATGCCTTGGATCGCACTTCACCATCTGGCTGTTGGGCTCGAAGCAGGAGCTGGTTATCTCAGCCACGGAGAGCTGTTCATGATATGCCTTCTCAGCAGAGATGATAGGTGCATAAGTGACCAGTGGGAAATGGATGCGGGGGTAGGGCACCAGATTGGTCTGGAATTCTGTGAGGTCCACATTGAGGGCCCCATCAAAGCGGAGAGAGGCAGTAATGGAGGACACAATTTGGCTGATGAGGCGGTTGAGATTGGTATAGGTGGGATGTTCAATGTCTAGGTTTCTACGGCAGATGTCATAGATGGCCTCATTATCTACCATGAAAGCACAATCTGAATGTTCCAATGTAGTGTGGGTTGTCAGGATGGAGTTGTAGGGTTCAACTACTGCAGTGGACACCTGAGGGGCTGGGTATATAGCAAATTCTAACTTGGACTTCTTGCCATAATCCAGGGAGAGACGTTCCATCAGCAGAGAAGTAAAACCAGAGCCAGTACCACCTCCAAAACTGTGGAAAATCAAAAATCCCTGCAAGCCAGAGCACGCATCTGTCTGGAGAGAGTGGAGAGAGGAGGACATAAAAAAAAAATTTTCTTACAAATACTGCCATTGTGGGAAAGGGGAGGAAACCAATCTGTTGGTCTTATCCCATTCAACAAGAGTTGAATTGATCATTGTATAATTGAAACCCAAGCACAAAATTTGTAAGTCTACAGCTGTACCTCATAGTGTCTCACTAATAAAAATTAAAAAAATAAATAAAACAACTATCCCAAAATGTCAGGAACAAATTGCACATGAAATTTCCATCCTGGTAGCTTGACTAAAGTATAAATGAAGTTTCAGAATCATAGTTAATGACTGCCCTTTAAGAGCTCAATTCCCAGGCTGGAGAGATAGGACAGCAGGTAGGGTGTTTGCCTTGCATGCAGCTAACCTGGGTTCGATTCCCAGATTCCCTGAGCAGTGCCAGGAGTAATTCCTGAGTGCAAAGACGGAAGTAACCCCTGTGCATCGCCAGGTGTGACTCCCCCCCCCCCCGGAAAAAAAAGAGCTCCAATCCCTTGATCTCATCTTCTGCCTTTGTCTTTTGATTTCTTGGGAACCACTGACCCACACATCTCTGTCAACCATTTGGAATGTGTTGATTTAAAAAATATACATGAGTCATACAATTTGAGTTTGAATATAAATTTTACAATTTATCAGTTGTAGAAACCTGAGAAAGCAATTGAAACTTAGTTCCTTCTTGGTTAAAGGAGGAACAATCAAAAACATTCATCTTGTAAGTCATAACGATAATAATAGCAAAACAGTGCTTAGCAAGGACCTTACATGTAGTATGCATAGAATTTTCCCATTGATAAGATTATTTAATTCAGTGGTTCTGAACTTTTGGTGTTACAGATGGCCGAAACTGATGGTCCATGCAAACCCTTCTCTAAATAAAAAAAAATTCAAATATTTAGCATCTTTAGCTCCTAGGTGAACAATACCTGAACAAGCTACAGGTACTCAACTATACAATGGGAACCAGTCAACCCAACCTGGTTCAAAGCCTAATTCTGGCTATTTCTTAGCTGTGTAACAAGCTATTGTTAAAACACCTGTTCTTCAATCTCTTTATCTATGAACTAAAAGGGGAAAAATTTTTTCATATCATTATTAAAGAAATCAAATGAGAAAACACACATTTGTAATGACATTTTTTTCGGTGCTGAAATGTATCGACAATCTCTTTCTCTTCCAATTCCAATGTTTTTTTAATCTATGCTTCTAACAAGTAAAGAGCCTAACCTTCCTTATACTGAAATCCCTTACCCCTGCCTCATCTTCCACCCCACTCTACTCCCTTCCAGATACTACCATAAAGTATGAATAAATACTAATAAGAGTTCAGACAGAAAAGTAGTCCAGATGTCTAGGAGTACTATTCCTATTAATGCTTCTTACAGAAGATGGCAAGCATTCCCAAATCTTTGGAACTCTTTCATAAATCCAGAGTTATACGCCAATATTATCCAATGTATTCAGAGAGTTATGTGTTCAAGCCACTTTTACATGAGTCGCCTATCCTCTGTGCTTGTTAACACTTACCAGCTTCCGTATTCGGTCCAAAACTAGATCGATGCTCTCCTTTCCCACTGTATAGTGGCCCCGAGCATAGTTGTTGGCTGCATCCTCCTTTCCTGTGATCAGTTGTTCTGGATGGAAGAGCTGACTATAGGTTCCTGCCCGAACCTCATCTGTCAAGAGAAACACCACTAGGATTAAGAAGCTCTGTAGTACGTAAATGTAGATATAGATATACACATATATACATACACAATGGAATATTTATTATGCGGCTATAAGAAAAGATAAAATTGACCCTGCCCACCCCTGCGCTGCTCTTCAGAACCACTGCTGGCTTGCTCCCTGTCTCAGGTGTGTGACGGGATACAAGCGCACCATCCCAGTGCCTGCTCCCCAGCCCTCCACTCGAACCCTCCTTGCCTCCTGGACCCGAACCCTCCCAGCCTCCCAGACCACCATCCTGCCTGCCCCTGCTGCACCCTCCAGTGCCATGGCCAGCTTGTGCCCTGTCAAGGTGTGTGACCCCTGGCTGGCACCCCACCTACAGCACTGCAGGGAGTATGGTCTCTGTAGGAGGGGACGTGGCCTCTGCAGTAGAAGGCGTGACCTGGCGGGGGGGGGGGTGGCTGTTCATGGCACTCTGGACTCACATCTCAATCTTCATTACCTAATTCTATGGAGAACATCCTAGCTATCTCAAACACAATAGGCCAATAGTCCACTAGTATATTCCAATTTCACCACAATGCCGGTGAACACAAAAAGCTGTACAAGTCCAATATAAAAGAACACATCCTCCAAAGCTTCACTAGAGACCTCACATAAATCACAGAGGAACACCTGAGAGGAAGGACATATTCAAGAAGGAGAAAAAGGCAACCATCATCGACTGAGCTCATCCAGAATCCTTTCCCACAGCAAGAGGGAATAGTGATAGTGAACTGGAAGTTCCCACCTCCATGCAACCACAACAACATGAAGAAACAGCGCAAATCCCCACCACGAGGAGAGGATGAAGAGTCCAAAAGCCTCAACAGGGGTTACTCACAAACATGATCTCTCCAATAAAGAATTCAGAGATGAAATGTTGAAGATGAATTCAAAGAAACAGTGGAACAGGCATCCCGTAAATTAAAGGAGAACATGAAAGAAACAGTGGAATGGACAGCCAAGAAAATACAGGAAGAAATGAGAGCAGAAATAAGAAAGCTACAAACAGAAGTGTCACTAATAAAGGATTCGGTAGATGAAATAAAACACTCAGTGGGTGCCCTCAACAGTAGAATGGCTACAGCCAAAGACAGAATCAGTGAGCTTGAAGATGAACTGCAGGAAGCAGTTCTGATATATTATTATTGATATGATATTATTGATATGATATCCATCATATGAATAAAAGAAAATATAAAACCATATGATCATATAAATAGATGCAGAGAAAGCATGTGACAAGATCCAACACCAGTTTATGATGAAATCTCTCAGCAAAATGGGCATTAAAGGAACTTTCCTCAATATAGTCAAAGCCATCTGTTAGAAGCCTATGGGAAGCATTATCCTCAATGGGGAAAAACTAAGAGCCTTCCCTCTAAGATCAGGGACAAGAAAAGGATGCCCACTCTCACCACTTCGGTTCAATATGGTACTGGAGTACTTGCAATAGTGGTCAGGCAAGAAAAAGATACTAAGCACATGCAGATAGGAAGGAAGAAATCAAGCTCTCACTATTCGCAGATGATGTGATACTATATCTGGAGAATCCTAAAGCCTCTACCAAGAAATTCCTAGAAACAATAGACTTGTACAGTAAAGTCACGGTTATAAAATCAATACCCAAAAGTCCATGGCTTTCCTATACGCAAATAATGAGATAGAAAAAAGTGACATGAAAAAAGCAATCCTAGGGGCTGGAGTGATAGCACAGTGGGTAGGGCATTTGCCTTGCACGCTGCCAACCCGGGTTCGATTCCCAGCATCCCATATGGTCCCCTGAGCACCGCCAGGAGTAATTCCTGAGTGAAGATCCAGGAGTAACTCCTTTGCATTGCCAGACGTGACCCCAAAAGGCAAAAAAAAAAAAAAAGAAAGAAAAAAGCAATCACATTCACAATCACACCACTGAAAATCAAGTACCTCAGAATCAGCTTAACTAAGGAGGTAAAAGACCTGTACAAAGAAAACTACAAAACATTACTTCACAAAATAAAAGAGGACATGAGGAAATGGAAACATATCCCCTGCTCATAGATTAGAAGAACATTGTCAAAATGACAATACTCCCCAAAGCATTATACAGATTCAATGGGATCCCTATAAGGATACCCATGAAACTTTTCAAAGAAGTGGATCAAATACTCCTGAAATTCATATGAAACAACAATGCCCTGTGAATAGGTAAAGCAATTCTGGGGGAAAAGAAGATGGGAGGCATCACCTTCCCCAACCTCAAACTCTACTACAAAGCGGTAATAATTAAAACTGCATGGTACTGGAACAAAGGCAGAGCAGCAGACCAATGGAACAGGGGTGAATATCCTTATACACACCCTCAAATATATGATCATCTAATCTTTGATAAGGGAGAAAGAAATGTGCGTGGAGCAAGGAAAGCCTCTTTAACAAATGGTGCTGGCAAAACTGGACAGCTACATGCAAAAAAGGGCTCAGACCTCTACCTAACACCTTGCACAAAAATCAGATCAAAATGGATTAAAGACCTCAACATCAGATCAGAATCCATAAGGTACATTGAAGATAAGGTCGTGAAAACCCTCTACAGCATCTTCAAAGATGACTCGCCACTAACCAGGCAAGTGATAAACAAATGGGACTATCTTTTATTTTAAAAAAGGCTTTTTAAATCTTTATTTCAACATAACTATGCTTACAGAAATACACTCATAATAGAATGCAATTTAAGTTTAACTTATCCTACACAATTTGGACCAAAACCTTGGTACATGGTTTAAGCTTTTTAAAACAACAATTTCCAATCTGATTTTTTCATCTATTACAAATGTATATAAAAGATCCTCCATCATATGCTGCTAAAGCCAGCAGCAATAACCTTGAGAAATCAACCTTTGGTTTGTCTCTGAAAAGTAACATGTATTGCACTGTAAAAGTTTATAAAATTGGTGCAACAAAACATTGCTGTAATGTTTCAATGCCAGTTTACAAAGTTAATTGCTAATGGATGTTGAAAGGGTGGGGAGAGCCTATGTACATTATGGTACTGTAAAAGCTATCTCATTTAGTTAATATTGCATGTAGATCACAAGTCTACACAAACCAAGATTCAGATAATTCCTTGAATCTGAATTAATACTATCAGCTCAGTTCATCTGCTGAGGTCAACAAGGGAACTTCACACTGTTTTCCTAATTTATACAAAAAAGAAAATTTTCTTCCCCAGCTTTTCAGCCCAGAACTGATACATTACAGGCAAGGCATTCGTTCCTTCCATTGTCAACATTCATGGGGTAATATCTGATGAAGTCTATTTCGGTTCAAATTTGTATTAGCACACAGATGCAAAGTAGTCCCCAAAGGTAAAGACCACGTGACTTTTCTAAAAAATAAAATGGTCCTTTCTTGGAAGACTAGAGCAAAACATCCAGCCAGTTATAAAGAAGCCCTATCAAAAAGATGTAGCCACTTGTACATTACACCTCAATTTTTAAAGCCCCCCCAAAAGCAACTCTGAAAAGAGGAAAAATATAACTTAAAATATCTTGAAAACCAATGTGAATATAGGTTCAAAAGATAGTTAAGAGTAACATTTCAATAAGACTACCTAAGATTAGGCTTATAATGTATTCTACTATTTCAAGTTTATCTCTATTTACTAAACATCAATTTACAAATAAAATGTTTGCTCTTTATTCTTATATCAAAAGGGAAAATGCTAATTTTAATTCTATCCAGTAGAGGGGAAAGCAAGAAAACACAAATATTCAAAAAGTTCCATGCAAATATCACATTTTTCAAATGGAAGAACTCCCAACTAGACCAGAAGTTCATATTACTAATATGCTTTTCATTGAAACAATTTTCAATAAGTACAAATACATGGCATTAAGGTTCAGAACCTAATATAGGCCTGACAAGTCCTTGTTTTCTGGAAGAAAGGCCTCAAGTCTCACTCAATTTCCAGTAACAATCTTTTTTCACATATCAATTTCATAACAAGGGATTCTCAATTTCCTTAATATTTTTTTAGCATTCTAGTCTTAAAAATTAGATATGCAATCTGTCCAATTTCCTACAAGTTATTTTTTTTGTAGTATGAAAGAAACTGTTTTTCTTTTTTTTTCCCTAAACTGATTCGTTCATTGATTTAAAGAAGGCCTTTGATTCTGTTGAGACGGAAGCGGTCATTTGAAGCCCTAGCCAATCAGGGCATTCAAGCCCAATACATCAAGATCCTCTGTGAGCTGTATTGCGGATTCACTACCAGGATCTCACCATTCTACAAAGACGTGATCGTTGATGTCAAGAGAGGGATTCGGCAGGGTGATACCATTTCACCGAAACTCTTCAGTGCCACCCTCGAGAACATCATGCGACGACTGGAATGGGAAGGAACGGGAGTGAAGATAGATGGTCGGCAACTACACCACCTCCGCTTTGCTGATGACATCGTTTTAATAACACCAAACATCAGCCAAGCGGCACAAATGCTGGCCGACTTTGACTGTGAGTGTGGAAAGGTAGGACTACAGCTGAATCTTACGAAGACAATGTTTATGAGAAACAGCCTCGTTCCTGATGCCCCATTCGCTCTCAACAGAACGACCGAATGCAACAGCTATGTATACCTAGGTCGAGAAGTCAACATGACAAATGACCTGGCACCCGAGCTGCGCAGGAGGAAGAGAGCGGCTTGGAACGCCTTCAAGAATGTCAAAGAAATAGCTAAGAGGACGAAGAACCTCCAGCTCCGGGCACATCTCTTTGATTCCACTGTTCTCCCTGCATTAACATATGCCTCAGAGACCTGGGCCCTACGCAAACAGGATGAGAACGCTATTCAGGTGTCCCAAAGAAGAATAGAAAGAGCTATGCTTGGAATATCACGTTTCACTCAAATGAGAGAAAAAATCCGGAGTTCCGACATCCGTGGACAATCAAGAATCAGGGACGCTGTCTCATTTGCCAGGGTGTCAAAAATCAGATGGGTTGGTCACGTAATGAGATTTAAAGACGACCACTGGACTAGAGCTGTTACCGACTGGATTCCATGGGATGTCAAAAGACCGCGTGGCTGCCCACCTTCCAGATGGTCAGACTTCTTTGTGAAGATCATGAACGATCGGTTTGAGGCTCTTCATGTTCCCAGAGCGAACAGATGCCATTGGGCTACACTAGCACGTGACAGGGACAAATGGAGACGTTACTGGAGCCCGCTCGAGCAAATCGACGACTAACGGGAAGTTAAGTGATTAAGTGATTAAGTGAAACTGATTCCCAATATCCAATCATATTAACATGAATCTTTTTATATCCAATGTAAAAGGTAACTTACATAAACTGTACCATGAACATTAAAACTAGTTGTTAGAAAGACAACTGGGATTATCTTAAAATAAGAAGCTTCTGTACCTCAAAAGAAACAGCGACCAGGATACAAAGACAATCTACAGAAAGGGAAAGGATATTCACCCAATCCCCATCTGATAAAGAGTTGATATCAAGGATATACAAGTCACTGAACTCCACAAAAAGAAAACACCCAAGCACATCAGAAAATGGGGCGATGAAAGGAACAGAAACTTTGTCAAAGAAGAAATCCGAATGACTAAAAGGCACATGAAAAAATGCTCTACATCACTAATCATCAGGGAGATGCAGATCAAAACAACAATGAGATATCATCTCATACCACAGAGACTGGCCCACATCCAAAAGAACAAAAGCAACCAATGTTGGCACGGATGTGGGGAGAAAGAGACTCTCCTTCACTTCTGATGAGAATGCCAACTGGTTCAGCCCTTTTGGAAAATAGTATGTTCATTTCTCAAAAAATTAGAAATTGAGTTCCCATTTGACCCAGCAATACCACTTCTGAGAATATATAACCTGGAGATGCAAAAAAGTAAAATAGAAATGACATCTGCACTCATATGTTCATTGCTGCACTGTTTACAATAGCTAAAATCTGGGGAAAAAACCCGAGTTCCCGAGAACAGATTACTAGCTAAAGAAACTTTGGTACATCTACACAACGGAATACTATGCAGCTGTTAGAAAAGATGAAGTCATGAAATTTGCATATAAGTGGATTAACATGGAGAGTATCATGCTGAGTGAAATGAGTCAGAAAGAGAGGGACAATCATAGGAAGACTGCACTCATTTGTGGAATATAAAGTAACAAAATGGGAGACTAACACCCAAGAATAGTAGAGATAACTACCAGGAGGATTGCTCCACGGCTTGGAAGCCTGCCTCACATGCTGGGGTAAAAGTCAGCTCAGATAGAGAAAGCACCACCAAGTAAAGGATGCTTGGAGGACTCACTCAGGATGGAAGATGTAGACTGAAAGTAGACTATAGACAGAACATCATGGCCACTTAATACAACACCTGCATTGCAGACCACAACACCCTAAAGGACAGAGAGAGTAAAAGGAAATCCACCAGCCACAGAGGTGGGGGGATGGGGCAATGGAGTGGGGGTGGTGGGACAATGCTGGGAACTTTGGTGGTGGAGAATGGGCACTGGTGAAGGGATTGGTACTCGATCACTGTATGACTGAAACATAAGCTCAAAAGTTTGTAAGTCTGTAACTGTACCTCATGACTATTCATTAAAAAATAAAAATATAAAAAATAAATTTAAAAATTTTTTAAAAGAAATGATAAAATCATGCAATTTTCTACAACTTGCTTGGAACTGGAAAGAATAATGTTAAGCAAAACAAAACAAGAGGGAAGACGAATACTGGATGATCTGACTCATCTGCAGTATATAGAGAAACAAAGTAGACATTCAAGAGATAATATTGGATAAAGACAAACCCTTGACTTTTGAACACAAAACTGAAATTTCCGTGCATTGGGGGAGAGAGAAAGAATGAGCAGACTAGAAAGAACATAAGGGCAGTGGTGGAAGTCTTGGGCACCTTAGTGGTGGTGAAGGTGTAGTAATACTGTACAATAAATAAAACCGTAAATTGTACTCATGTTACAAAATATGCAATTTTTAAAAGAGGGACTCACTACATAGTTTTCAAAGAGATATGTCCCTCCCTATTAGGAAAACATGTGCTACCCTGTTGGTTTCTCTTTCTCCTCCTTGTGAAATTCTACTGAGATGAAACCAGACAATGCTATATACAAATATATTAAATATGAAATAATGTTTAGATTCTAATAAATATTAAATATAAAATAAATCTGCAAATGACTATGAAAATCCTAGGGCATTGACAGGTTCAGAGGCTTATGACTCAAGCACTCAACTACTCTGGAATTTTAAAACCCTTAGGTTGATTGCCACAGAGGCAGGGTGGGATGGGGAGGATGGGCGTGGGAGGGATACTGGGATCCGTGGTGGTGGAAAATGGGCACTGGTGGCGGGATGGGTATTTGATCATTGTATAATTGAAACCCAAGCACAAAAATTTGTAAGTCTACAACTGTACCTCATGGTGTTTCACTAATAAAAATTAATTAAAAAAATAAAAAATTTTAAAAAATTAAAAAATACTCTTAGGTTGCTATATTTACTAAATATTTCTTTTCTTTTCTTTTACTTTAGTCCCTCAAGGATTCATTTTTGCTTTTTCTTTTATGCTGCAAGAAAACCTAAAAATTTAACTCACTTGCTTAAGATGTTTTAGGACACAGAGAAAATTTCAGGGTTATCTGCCTACTTCTAGATTCTCTCATCTCAAGGTAGAAATTAAGTAGTTCAGGCATTAGAGATATTTAAGAATAACTGCAGCAAAGCTATGCTCCAGGTGCTAGAAGATCAGGAGCTCTACAACAGCTGCCAAAGGAACTCCATTCATATCCATGGGTACACCAAAAAATGAACACACATAGACCAATATGAATCAGGCTCCAATTACTTTTGTTTTCTCTTAGGGGACCAACTATTTTCCACAGAGAAGTCACCCATTTGATCTGGAAGGATAATCTTTTTATATTTGTACAAAGTATCTAAAGGGTCAAGTGCCTATCTCCTGACACTCTTTGAAATTCATGTTCAGGTATTACTTTGATTTCTTTATGAAATTTATAAATTTCTTTTTTGACCTAGCCCCAGGTTGAGGAAATCCTGTTGGTGAGGGAGATGCAAAGTACCAAAAACCATGCCCTGACACAAGGTGGAATTCATGCTCCAAGATCCAAATGAGATTCATTCTAAAACCATAACAAGCTCTGGCCATAATAGAATATGCCTGCTGTTAATTCCACTTTGTAAGAAATATCAGACCTATTATAGCGGACTTCAGTTGTCACAGAATCTAAAACCTATCCTTTGGAATTTGACAAATTGGAGGCCTAATAATTTCTAAAATTAACTGCATTTTTTGTGGAGCAGGGTGGCAGTGACTGGTGCAGATAAGATCCGACCTTGCAAAGCAGCTCAGAAGCAAAGCCTCGCCAGAGGGAGTATCTGGGCAAAGTTGGCAAGAACAGGGTGTCAGCCAGCACTGGGTGTTCGGCCTTGAGCCTCACTTGACCTCCTAGTCTCATAAGCCCTAGACACAGAAACTGTCACATATACTTAACAAGTCATCCTAACCACAGTGTCTAGCATTGACTGGGATTGGACCAGGGCATAGCAGAGAAGGAGCAGTGATAGGCCAATAATGCTGAACTTCATGTGATTGGACTATGTTGTAAGCCGAGACCCTCTATAAAATATGTGTGTATTTGGCAATAAAGTGAACAGCCATCAGCTGCTCCCAGAGGATGTTTCTCTGAGCGCCCGTCATCCTTCGCCCCACATCTCCCCGGATCCGGTGCACAATGTGTCTGGACACCGTTGGGGGAAAACATTCTCCAACAATTTTTACCCTTAGTATTTAGCAAATAATCTTGATAATTCATGTGTGTCTCAGCATGGTTTAAGTAAAGGGCTTTTTTTAAATTATATTTTTTTCCATAGATTAGAGCAATAATGGGAAGATCCCTGATCCCTATTGTGAGATTCTCCAAGACTGTGGAGAGCTCAAGAAGCTAACATTGGATAGAAAGATTGGTTGGATCTTGGATAGAAAGATTAGTTGAGCTACTCACCTTTGGATGGAAAGATTAGTTGAGCTACTCACCTTTGGATGGAAAGATTAGTTGAGCTACTCACCTTTGGATGGAAAGATTAGTTGAACTACTCACCTTCCAGTTAGAGGTTCTGTTTCCTTAGTATTATCATGAATCAAAACCTCCGCAATTTTATGTTTTCTATAAAGAGGCTCCTAACCCACTGTATACTCACCTACAACAGTAGGCTCCAGATCTACCATGACAGCCCTGGGGACATGCTTCCCATTGCCAGTCTCATTGAAAAAGGTCGTGAATGAGTCATCGTCACTGATCTTGTTGGTCTGGGTACCGAAGGTGCCATCAGCCTGGATGCCATGTTCCAGACAGAAGAGTTCCCAGCAGGCATTGCCAATCTGAACTCCTGCTTGACCTACGTGGACTGATATACATTCTCTCTGTGGGGAAAATGTAGAACCAAGGTCAGAGAATCCTAAGTCCCTGTCCATGACTTTGCTCTATTAGTATCCCTCCTTCACCCCCATCCGAAGACTTGTTTCTATCCTGATATGCAACTTGCAGGATACCCATTCTTCCAACCATGCTATCTTAGAAGCAGGTATGGTTTGAGGTTTCAATTATCTAAATATCTCGCATCTGAGCTTAGTTTCAGAGGAAAACCCCCAGTTTTGTAATTTGATTTAAAGTTTCCTTGCCAGAGTAAATAAATATCAGCTTCACACAAGGGTCTAATTCCAAACCATGAGATTTGATATACTGATGAGGTCAAAGAAATAACCAGTGATAGCACAGAAACTATCCCTAAATTCACTATCACAAGTAAAACATTCATATTCATCTAAACCCCTGACTTTCCTAGACAACACACACAAACACACATACACACACAACTCTCAGAATACATGGAATAGATTAATATTCATGGCAGGAATATTTTGGAAGTATAAATTGTTACTTCATAACAATTAACAAGGGCCAGAGCAATAGTACAGAGGGTAGGGCATTTGCCCTGCACACGGTTGACCCAGGTTCTATCCCTGGCATCCAACATGGTCCCCTGAGCACCTCCAGGAGTACTTTCAGAGTGGAGAGTCAAAAGTGATCCCTGAGCATCGCCAGGTATGACCCAAAAAGGAAAAAAAAAGAATAATTAATAATTGTTAAGTCAGAGGGAGGAGTACCAGATAATCTAATTAATTTAATTGATTCCTTTAAATCTTATTTGCCAAAAAGGTAATCAGTCAAAATAGATAATGAAATGGCAATGGATGGGAAATAGATATAAAAGGGCACCCCTCTCCCAACCAGGTTGCTTCCTCTTTGACACCACACAGTAGGCTCTTAACATCCCCAATTTCAATCTTCCTATAATAATGTATAAATGACCTCTTTACAATGGAAACACCTCCAATGTTCCATTGCCAATCATGGGATATTTTAAGTTATCTCTTATGTTCTAACCATGTCTATTTCTTCAGAGTCCTGGAACTCTCAGGGAATATTTGACGAGCTGTCATAGAAACTGACTCACCCATAAATAACTCCTTCACTGCAATTCCTATTGGGGAATATGACTGGGAACCTAGGGTCCCCAGAAGAAATCAACACACATATGTCAGCAGGAAGAAGCTTCAGTAGATGGACCTTCTCCCCTTAACTCTAATAGAATTTATGGTGTCCCTTCCTGGAGGGGGTTACTTTTATGATGGAAGGAAAGGTAAGGGTTGCCAGGTAATCTAATTAAATGGTCCCTATAAATCACACACATCAAGGTTGTGGTGAGAAAGGAATCTTCATCCACTGCCGTGGGAATGTTGTCTGGTTCAGTCTACTAAACTGCAACAACTGAAACTTTGTAATGTGCCCCTCAAGTTGAAGGCAGAGATGAGGTGGGGGCTGGGGTGGGGCCTTAATACAAGAAGTGGAGAGAGGTTGACACTGGTGGTGGGGTTAGTTTTGAAATATTATATGTCTAAAACTCAACTATCAATAATTCTGTAAATCAGTTCTTTAATTAAAAAGAAAAGAAAAGAAAATTTAACTAATCTATAGCACAATGGTAGGGTATTTATTTTGCATACAGCCAGCCCGGCCGAACCGAGTTCGATTCCTCCGCCCCTCTCAGAGAGCCCGGCAAGCTACCGAGAGTATCTCGCCCGTACAGCAAAGCCTGGCAAGCTACCCGTGACGTATTCGATATGCCAAACACAGTAACAACAAGTCTCAAAATGGAGACGTTACTGGGCCCGCTCGAGCAAATTGATGAACGACAGGAGGAAAATACAGTACAGTACTATTAAGACATAGGTTTATTCTATGTTTCCCAACTTGGCAGTTTGTAAAAAGAGCCCAAACCAAACAGCAAAAACCAAAAAGGAACTCTCTGAAGGAAAGAGGTGGGTCCACTGCTGTGGCACTGGAATTATGTGCATGAGAAACCATTTTAAAAATGTATTTATTCCCAGGGACTGGGGAGATAGCACAGTGGGTAGGGCGTTTGCTTTGCACGCGGCTGACATGGGTTCGATTCCCAGCATCCCATATGGTACCCTGAGCACTGCCAGGGGTAATTCCTGAGTGCAGAACTAGGAGTAACCCCTGAGCATCGCCGGGTATGACCCAAAAAGAAAAAAAATTTATTTATTCCCCTTTCTTCCTGAAGAAACACACCCAACACTCTCTGATATAGAAATATCCATAACTAATCTCAAAGAGAATGACAAGCAACTGTGTCTTCCCGAGGGTACCACTGTATAGGTTGAAAACTGTGGTGTTCTTGGAATGGGGTGAGCAGAGTCCCCTCTTTGTACCCTGCCCCCACTGGACAACCAATCTAAAAATGGTGATCAAAAGGAAAAGCAATTAATCCACTTCCACCACCATCCCCAACTTACCATATCCTATTCCACTCTCTTTCACTAGCTATGCATTCATCAGGAATTCCCTCCTCAAAAAATTCAAAGTCACACATGTCCCCTCAGAAAGGAACATCATCTCCCTCCCTGCTCCAAACAGAACCCCGGCAGCCAAAAACCTCCAGAACCCAACCACTGCCATGCGCAAGTCCACCCTCCACACACTAGGACGAGCCCCACACAAGAGGGGACAAGCCGCACCCAAAACGGGATGAACCTCACCAGAGAGCAGACCAGCAAGAAAACCCAGATATGTGGGAACCTGTGACTGAGATCTCCAAGCCCACTTGGATCAGGACTGAGCCTCCTCCCCCCAAGGTCCCCGGTTTTCCAGTAGGTTGGCAGTCATACCCACAAACTGCCCCTCGTGCCATATAATCTCATCAATGGCCAAGACTCAGAGACAATAAACTAAAGCTCCTGGAAGAGAGCACCGCAGAACGTCCTGACCCTGCGCCAGGCTGTCTTCACTGGGACACCTTGAAGGGGGGGGGGGGTTGAGTTTCCCTCCCTGTCCCAAGCAGAACCCCAGCAGCCAAAAATCTCCAACCACCACCATGCCCAAGACCACTCTCACATGTTCAGACAAGCCTCACCCAACAGGAAACGAGCCCCACCCAAGACAGGATGAACGTCACCAGAGAGCGGACCCCATAACAAGCAATATAAAACAAATTGTCTAGCATTCCCTTTTCAGCAGGTTTGAGTGATGGTGAGACTGTTGTCAAAATATCAAATGTAACCAAAGTAGAGAGAGAGTATGGGGGAAATTGTCACACAGGCAGGGGAAGGGTTGGAACAGGGTGGTGGTGGGGGAAATACTGGGGATTTTGGTGGTGGAAAATGAGCACTGGTGAAGGGATGAGTGTTTGATGATTGTATGACCAAAGCTCAGACATGAAAGCTTTGTAACTGTATCTCATGGTGAATCAAAAATGGGGAAGGCCATGGGAAGGGGGGCGTTCCGGCCCATCCTTCACGCCCTACCGAGGTCACCAGTTGCCGCCCCCCTCCCCCCAGCGGCTCTCCGGCACGGCCACGACTCCAGAGCACAGAAACCAATCTCTTAATTATCTAACTTTTAGTAAAAATACTTCCAGGGTTAATAAGTAAAATAGCAGATATCCAAAACCGCATGGCCGCGACGTTTAATTCTTGAACCCAGCTGTAGAAAACAAATCATTTCACAACGCTTTTTCAGCATGTCTGATTGGGGGGGGGGGGGGGGTGGTAAACTCTAAATAATAATGGTGCATCTGCCTCACAGGAAATTGGGAGAGGTGGGAGGTGGGGTTCTATTGGGGTTCGTGGTAAAAAAATAAGTATTGGTAAAGGGAAATGTGTTTAATATTTACATGACTGAGACCTAAACCTGAAAGCTCTGTAACTTTTCCCACAGTGATTCAATAAATAAATAAATCATAAAAAAATGGGGAGGAGGGGAGGAATAATAAATTAAATTAAATTAATATTCAGAACAGAAAAAAAAAGAGTAATGTGAAGTTCATGCCCAATTCAATCAGCTTAATCAATGGCTGAATAAATAGCAGTACTCCTACATTAAAAGAAAGAAAGAAAGAAAGAAAGAAAGAAAGAAAGAAAGAAAGAAAGAAAGAAAGAAAGAAAGATCAACAACATTAACCCTCTAGTTCCTTATGGTCCTGACCTAAGCCTAGAACCTTCTTATGACACTCTCCAATTCCTCTCCTCAGTTATCCAGTGCCAGCTGCTGCCTAGGAGAGTTCTGTTAATCAAGACATGTACCAAAGGACCTCTGGGGGCACCCGCAGTGACAGAGAGGAAGTATTGCAGCAGTGACATGCAATCGAATGTCAATTTCGAATCCCAAGCAGTGCACTGGGATCAGGCTCTCAGCAGGGAGCCTGCAGAGTTTAGTCATTCCTGCCTGCACAAGGGTAGTGTACAGAAGATCACAGATGCAGAAGCAGTGTCCATCTCACCAGAACCCGCTGCCCTCTCACTCCGATGTTTGTGGGGAGGTCAGCTCTCTGTTGGCATTTAATGTCAACAAACTCAACTATTACTATTGCTCCCCAGTAGAAAAAGAATGGAGTCAGGAGGAGGCAGAGGCTCTCACCTCCACCCTAATCACATTTTCTCTGTACTTTGGTATTATTTGGCACAAGCTTGGCTTTGGCTATCTGGTCATGGTTCTCCATACCACTTCCCAAAACTGCTATATTCTCAGTTCCCAGAGGAAATGCTTACTAGAGGGATGCTGAGAGCAGATAGACCTGCACCGTTGATAGGCTTGGCTAACACAGAAATACTGTATAATTATCCTACATATGAACAGCCTCCTTAAAATCCCATAGAGAAAGAGGAACAGAAGGTGTGAGTGCCCAAAACTTAACCAGTTGGATGAAGTGAAGTTCTTTCCATAATGGCAAGACTTTATGGGTTTAGGTCTATGCTGCTTTGAAAAATTAGTCAAGGGATTTGAAAAAAGAGATTATTAAATGAAAGGGAAATATTTAATAAAAATATTGGGGGGGAGTGAGTTTCCCTCCCAAACCCAGCAGAACCCTGGCAGCCGAAAACCTCCAGAATCCAACTGCTGCCATGATCACGGCCACCCTCCACAGGCTCAGGCAAGACTCACCCACAAGGGAACCTGCAGAAAAACCCAACTATGAGGGACCCGTGACTGAAATCTCCAAGCTCACTCGGAGCAGAAATGGGCCTCCTCTCTGCAGCTCCCAAGTTTTTCAATGGCTTGGAAGTCACACCCACAAACTGCCTTATAATCTCATCAACGACCATTATCCAGAGACTCAGAAATAAAGCTCCAGGAATAGAGCAACACAGGCCTCACCCTGTGAATCTGTGAAACTGCTCTATAATCATATTCTAAATTTCAGAATTCCTGGACCTTTCATACTCTACCCCACTGTTATACCAAGAGTAGCACACATTTGTTTGGGGTTAACATACATGTTTGTAATCTCTTATACAAGGGTTAATGGCTCCAGGAAGAAATATAATGATCTACACACTTTGCTCTTATAGTGGTGGGATTGATGTTTGAATATTGAATGTAATGAATTATTATGAACAACTTTATAAAAATAAAATTTAAAAAAAATATTGGGGGAACCAGGAATTAGCTCAGTCCTATAATACATGGCTCTATGTTTGAGGCTCTGTGCTCAATCTCTGACACTGGGTAAGAAGAGAAAAACAGTACTTATGACATATCACAGGGATGACGGAACTCATTTTGCATGTAATCAACCCCAGTTTGGTCCCCAACACCTCCTGGGGTCCACTGAGCACTGCCAGAAGTGACCTCTGGGCACAGAGCCAGGTGGAGCCTCTGAGCACTTGTCAATCCCCCACACATGAGAAAAATATGTATTTTCCTATCAAAAAATTCTGTTTTGCATTTATGATTAACTTACTAAAGAAACTCATTATTACAAAACACTGATAAAACAAATAAGGTTTGTTCAAAGGATTAGACAGTCATCTGGTTCAACCTCTGTGGAGCTCAGTATCTAGATTTCTTACCAAAGTAAAAATAGACCTCCTATATGACCTGGCAATACCACTTCTTGGCATAGACACACAAAAACAAAAATAATAGCTTTAAAGGGTAAGTGTTCATTGCAACACTTAAAACACGGATAGTCAGGATATGGAAACAACCCAAATGTCCAACTACAGATGAATGGATCTAGAAGTTGTGATATATATAGACAGTTGTGATAATTTGTATACAACAGTAAGAAAACATAAAGTCTAGCAATTTGCTGCTATATGGATGAAACTAGAGGGAATTATGCTGAGTGAAGTCATTCAGGAGAGGGACAGATACAGAATTCTCTCTCTCTCTCTCTCTCTCTCTCTCTCTCTCTCTCTCTCTCTCTCATATGTGGGATATAAAGATACCCAGTAGGGAGCAATAAATAGCTAAAGGCAATAGAACTGGAGAGTTGGTCCATAGAACTGAGTTTCAGAGGGGGCAAGGTGGGTGAGACCTTTGGGAACAATGGAGGGAAGAAGTCACTCTGTTGGTGGGTGTGGCATTGGAATGATGTATGTATGAAACTACGATTAAACTATGATTAACTACAAATCACACTTCAATAAAGATAGTAATGGGGTCACAGTCACAGTCCTCCCGTTGTTCATCAACTTGCTCGGGCGGGCCCAGTAACGTCTCCATTGGAGACTTTGTTGTTACTGTGTCTGGCATATCGAATACATCACGGGGAGCTTGCCAGGCTCTGCCGTGCGGGCGAGATACTCTCGGTAGCTTGCCGGGCTCTCCGAGAGGGGCGGAGGAATCGAACTCGGGTCGGCCATGTTGGCTGCGTGCAAGGCAAACGCCCTACTCGCTGTGCTATCACTCCAGCCCAGTAAGGGGGTGAAAAAAACCAAAAAGCTAGATTGTGATCCTCTAAGCCTCCTTTAAGCTCCATTCTAAGAGTCATTCTGCCTTTCAGGAAAAAATAAAACATAATAAAGTATTTTTTGATTAATTTTTCCTTTTTTATTAAATCACCATGAGACACATAGTTAAAAAGTTGTTAGTAATTGGGTTTCAGTCCTAAAATATTCCAACACCCATCCCTTCACCAGCGTACATTTCCCACCACCAATGTCCTGCCACCCACTCCCAGCCTGCCTCTGTGGCAGACACTCCTCTCTCTCTCTCTCTCTCTCTCTCTCTCTCTCTCTCTCTCTCTCTCTCTCTCTCTCTCTCTCTCTCTCTCTCTCTTTCATTTTGGGCACTATGGTTTGCAGTACAAGTACTAAAAGGTTATCATGTATATCACTTTACTTCTTTTCAGCACTCAGTTCTCATCCAGAGTGAAAACTATCACTTACAACTACTATTGTTATAGTGGCCCCTTCTCTGTCCTAACTGCACTGCCCCTCTGTCCCAGTCCTCCTGGCCCTTGTTTCTTCTGTCTTTGGGAATTCATCTCATACTGTTTCTTTTGTTCCATATCCTGCAAATGAGTACAGTCATTCTATGTTTGTCCCTCTCCCCCTGACTTATTTCACTCAGCATGATATTCTCCACTGTCCATTCATACATAAGCAAATTTCATAACTTCATTTTTCCTAGAGGCAGGATAGCATTCCATTATATAGATGTACTATTGTTTCTTTATCCTGTGATCTTAACTCCTCTTTATTTTTTAATATGACAAAAGGCAGTCCAAATATGTTAAGTGTTCTTAACTAATTGCCAATTCTGAACTCCCAACTCTGGGCAACATTTATGGCCCTGCACCAACAGCCTCGGGCATAAACAGTATCCTCTGGCTGCTGAACTCATTATTTCCCAAGTTTATCCAAGGAGGTTGGAGCATGTCCTATGAGGGAGGGAGCTGAACAGACCTGGAACTAGAAACAACAGCGCTGGGGCCAGAACCCAAAGGTCCCAGGCACTTACCAAAATAAACAGAAGCAGCGGGAGGTGGGGAGGCTCTGATGCCTGCTCTGCCAGGACACTTGGAGCAAGACACCCAGATAACTTGACCTTGACTCGTGAGGCCTGTCTGCTTATTCTCTTTCCGACCCACCTCCCAAAATATCAGTTTGGGGCCAGGAGATTTGAGTTTCTGTGTTTCAGGATGATTTGGAGAATGTCTACCCCCTGGCTTAGGAGTTGGAGGGAGTGAGTAGAGTTAACTCTTTCTGAGGTTTCAAAAATCCTCCCAAGAAGTAATACCTGCATCTGCCAAGAGATGCAGAGATGGGGGAAAACTGAGGTAAACGTCTCCTCCCATTTGAGGGAGACTGTTGTGTGCCAAAGTCTTACCCAGGGCAGTGGAGCCAAGCTGCCAGTGCCCCAAGTGGGTGAGAGGAATCTCAAAAAGAGGACCCCCCCCTGCTCCCATGCCTGGGGGAATAGGATGCTATTGTCCCGGTCATATTCTGACGCCCTGTGGTGTTTGATTCAGTTTAGGGACCTGACTATGCCTCTTCTTCCTGGCTGCTCTGACCACCCAGAATCCCTGCGCAGCCCCCTTCTCTCCATTCTGGTTACTGAGAGCCAATCTGGGTTCTTAAAAACTTCTGCACACTGTTCCCTTCTCCTTAATCTGCTTTCACAAGTCCCTCTTAGTCCACTTTGATGGCCACTTGCGCCAGGCCTCTACTTCCCATCTACTATAATTAATACCTGCACAGGTATGCTTCACAAGAGCTGAGGCCCCCCTCACCCCACACTCCCAAGGAAACTTAGAGCTCTGAAGATCCAAACCAAGAGATTCCTTAGTCCTAGTCTGGCCATATATGGCACCTGGGGCATCAGCCTGTGCCCCCACCCAGGTCCCCTTTCTTGCCCTCCCTGTCCCGATCCCTCTGGGGCCCCTGCATCCCCCAGAAAACTCACCATTATGTCCTCTCTGCCACTCTGCTCTGCTCCCAGCTGAGGCTGCCCACCCCCAACTGCTCTAGATTCAGCTGCCTCTGCTGTTGGGACACACTGGGTGGGAGGAGCCTGGGACACAGCTGCCCTTGCTGTGTCATAGTGCCTGGGGATGGGACATGCAGGTCACAATTGCTCCTCCCACCCAGCCTCAAATATCCCTCCCCTCCCCATGTCAGGTCACTCACTCCACCCTGGCAGCCTGGGTGCTGTTCAGGGGCACTGAGCCTGGAAGGAAATTCTATCACCTACCACCTCTCCCCCCTTCTAATTGGAGAGGGCTAGAGAAACTGATAGTCTTAGTAAGAGACCCTCCTTCATATTTTAGATGTAGGCAAAATTATTTAATCTCCCTTCACTCTCCCTCATCTTCTCCCCCAGTTTCATAGTCTACAGGATGATTTATTATTTCTTGATTTTGCTACAAAATCACTACCAGTGTCCAATCTGTAACTGAAGAGTATAACCTAGCTTAAGTTTCCTCTCAGTTACTCAAGCACCTAATCACCAAGTACCAGGACACTCCATGCAAATTCATTTTCTACAGAAGCTGCCTTGACCAAAAAGTAGTGACTGTTAAAGTTTCCAAGCACAAATATAGATTTACCTTTCCCTCAAAAATTCCTAGCTCTGTCTCATAGAGAACGAGAACACATAAAAATTTATGTAGCTGATCACCATTTGAATATTTCCCTTTTTGTTTATTTTTTAATTTATTTTATAAACCAGTTCACAATATTAGATTACATTTAATATTCGAACACCAATCCCACCACCATTACCCCTTCCCACCACCATATTTTGAATGTTTCCATCCTGAACCCCAACCCCTGCCCCAAAGCAGAACCAAAATCATTTATTTTGTATTGTTTGTTATGAAAAAACACTGAAAATGCTACAAAAAAGTTTCCTTAAAGGAAAGACTATAAAGATTGTTGTATTTCACCCAAGGGGTCATTAAGCCCTTCTATAAGAGATCACTAATAAGTTGTTAAAAGTTGAGTCTTATGTGCGCGCGCACACACACACACACACACACACACACACACATATATACCTGCATACATATACATATATATATATATATATCTGTAAAAAAAACATATTTCCCTAAGATTGGTTGTCTCCTACTGTAAATCCCATCAAATGTGGTGTGGTACTCTTGGAGTATGGATGGTATGAGGTATGATTATCATGCGGCCACACAGTCCAGTCCAGGAATAGGTTCACTCATGGGTGAGGCTCTGCCCAAGCATGTGGAGAGTGGCCGTGAGCGTGGCACTGGTTGAGTTCTGGAGCTTTTCGGCTGCTGGAGCTGGGTCCCTTAGGGAGTGGAGGCTTCTCACCTGCCCCTCTCCGGGGCACCCCGAGTGAAACAGCCTGGCACGGGGTCCGGCAGCATGGTTATGGCAAGCGTCATGTTATGCTCCCTTCTGGGAGAGAAGGACATGCGATCTGGATGAGGAGACATTTGTTCTAAGGCTATCCTCTGGCTATGTCTTTGATAAACTTTGATAGACTTTGATAAACTTGAGGACTTAGTCTGACTTAGTTAAAGCTGCTGAATTCTTTGTTTTTTCATTATTTATAATAATTTGTGGGTGCTAGGGGTGGATCTTCAAATTCCAAGTAACCTGAGCAGTGATCCAATTTGCTGTTCATTAAATCAAGCTACTACTTATGCCTATTGATTTTTTGTCAGCACTGCTTCCCGAATTAGTTAAAAGGCAGAGAGAAAGGGAGGGGGAAGAGAGTGGAAGGAAGAGGAACAGAGACAGAAACAGAGAAATGGGCTTAGCATATGCCTTTGATGCAGGCGGCCTAAGTTCAAATCCCAGAAATGCATGGTCCCCAAGCACAGCCAGGAGTTCCCCTGAGCACTGAGATTGGATACTGCTAGGTGTGACCCAAAAAAGGGAAGACGAATAGAAAAAGACTGAGTAAGAGGGAACTGAGGAAAAGCAGCATGTCTGACTACTTAAACTGGAACATTAGTCTTCGGCTCTTGAACTCTCAGTTCTCCTAGGACTCCAGCTTGTCAAGTACAAATCTGGGACTTCTCATTCTCATATGAGCTAACTACTTATCACTATTTAAATATATAGTCAATTGACTAAGTATTTCCTATTTATCTCTATCTCTCTGGGGAACACTGATTAATGCAGTCTCCTTTTTTGCTGATATAGATAAATTCAGACTACTGATGAGAAAGCAATTCCCAGACAGCAAGATTTCAGTCTTGGAAAGGAATTTTTCCAGGGATTTGAAAGTGGATTATATCAGTACATGCCTTGTGTGTGAGAGACCCTGGGTTCAATCTCCAATACCAGAAAAATGAAAACTACTTAGCCTCTACCAAATTCTAGTTACTTGGTACATGATCTTTTTCCCTCCTCTCATGAGTTTTTGTATTATAGGGTTATATTCTCAAATTCAATTATAGTGATGGCCAAAATGCTGAGCCAAGTCATTGCATCTACTGCTAAGGGTTTAAATATCTTGTTATTAAAATAAAGTGTTTCATTGTCCCAGTTTTACAAATGAAAGATTTAAAATGTTACCTTTTTAAATTAAAAAAAAAAAAAAAGAATGCAGTGGTGCTTGGGTCTATCCCAGCTCTGTGCTTGGAGAACCATGTAGTGCCAGGGATCAAACTTGGACCTCCCACCTGAAAATCATGTAATAAGTCTGTGGAGGTATCTCTCCAGCTCCATAAATGTTAACTCTAATCTCCAGTCTCACAACTGAGGATGAGCCGGAGCTTCGACTTTCAGAACATCCTCTCCATAGTTTCAGCAGTTGGTCCCTGTTAAACTCACTTCCCTTGAGAGAAGTCAGCCATGTAGTTAGGCATCAGTCAGTCCCAAGGAACTCAGCAGTGGACTTCCTTAGGACTAAACATCCAGGACCGACCCACAGTGCAGAGAAGACGGCACTGGGGAAACTAAAAATAGTCATAACCCATCTGCAATTGTTTGTTCATTGCAGCACTCTTTACAATAGCCAGAATCTGGAAAAAACCTGAGTGCCCAAGAACAGATGACTGGTTAAAGAAACTTTGGTACATTTACACAATGGAGCACTATGTAGCTGTTAGAAAAGATGAAGTTATGAAATTTACATACAAGTGGTACTACATGGAAAGTATCAGGTTAAGCGAAATGAGTCAGAAAGAGCGGGATAGACACAGAAAGATTGCATTCATCTGGGGAACATAAAGCAACAAAAAGGGAGATTAACACCCAGGAATGGCTGAGACTAGTACCAGAAATTTTGCTCCATGAATGGAAGGCCAGCCACACGTTCTAGGTGAAAAGAAGCTCAGATAGAGAAGAGAGCACCAAATGAAGGGTGTTGTGAGGACCCTCCCAGGGTGGGAGAAGCATGCTAAAAGTAGTCTATAGACCAAACATGATTGCCACTCAAAGCCTCTCTTGCAAAACACAGTACCCAAAAGAAGAGAGAGAGAACAAGGGGGAATACCCTGCCACAGAGGCAGGATGGGACAGGGGGGATGGGGGGTGGGGAGGATGCTGGGACCCGTGGTGATGGATGACGGGCACTGGTGAAGGGATGGGCACTTGATCATTGTATAACTGAAACCCAAGCACAAAATTTGTAAGCCTATAACTGTACCTCATGGTGTTTCACTAATAAAAAAAGAAAAAAATAGTCAAAACCTCCTTCACAAAATGGCTTCAGTTGATTAGAAGCCAATACTGAAATCCTCACTGCATCTATGCACAGATTTCTTCTGGGCTGTTTAAATTTTACTAACGTGCCTATTTGTAAAGTCATTAAGTACAAATTTAACTTATCTACTTCAGGTATACATAATTCAAATGTTTTTCAGCTTATTTTAATAAAAGGAATCAATCTATTTAATAATATTAAGTTTATGTAGTGGCTTAATTATCCCAATTTATGTATACATTTGTATCACTTATATACTTTTTTAATACTTTTTCAATTTTTTGTATACCTTTGCTCATTTGACATGAAATATACAGAAAATAAGGCAGGTAGTACAGTTATGCAAGCTTTGCTGCTTTGTGCTCTGCTGCTGAGCCACTGTCCTAGTTGGAGAACCATGTGGACCAGGGGTAGAACCAGTGGCACCTGCAAACAAAGAACGTGCTTCCTGTGCTAGCCCCCAACTCCCAAAAATGAAATGTCCTTAAACAAACATCTAAAAGTGGCATAGAGCTCTGTCAAGTAGTCATCTGCAAAACCTAATTCTTATGCTGAGAACCTTAAAAAAGGTATATCAGAACATATTATATGCAGTTCTATCACTCGCTTTCCAACTCACAACAATCACTCACACATGCGATGTATTCTTTTTTTTATTTTTATTTATTTTTTCTTGCCTTTTGGGTCACAACTGGTGAGGCTCAGGAGTTACTCCGGGCTCTGTACTCAGGAACGCTGCTGGTGGAGCTTGGGGGACCATATGGAACGCCAGGGTTTGAACCCAAGTCAGACGCATGCAAGGCAAACACCCTACCCACTGTATTATCACTCCGGCCCTGCTGCGATGTATTTTTTTTAATATTTATACCTTAGCACCATTTTATCCTCATAACAGACTTATAAATTAAATACAACTGTTGTCTTCATTTTAGAGATAAAGAAAATAAGGCACAGAGATATAATTTGATCAAGACTGCAGAGCAACCGAGAACTCAAATATTTAGCTCCTAACATCCATAATTCCTTATTCATCAAATTAATTCTATTGGATTTAGGCCTTATTTCTGCCCTCCGCTGCCCTCACCCTATCCTCCAAGAAAATCTTGTAAGAATTTAAATTTTTCCTGGGCTAGGTAATAGACTATTAATAGAGTTAATAGGGGAAAAACAGTTCAACTATAATCATGAAATCCCGGAACAGTGCTAAGAGGGGCACAGAGGACCTACAGAAAGTTTCAGTACCTGCTGTGAGGAGGCTGCCATCTACTGTCAGAACCAAAATGTTCGGGAATATTTGGAATGAGTAAAGTGACTCTTGAAGGATAAGTCAATTTTTCCAGATTTGGTAATGTATA